CACACCACACCATACCACACCACACCACACCACACCACACCACACCACACCACACCACACCACACCATACCATACCACACCATATCATACCATACCATACCACACCATACCATATTATACCATACTATACTATACTATACTATATTATGCTCTACTATACTAAACTAAACTATACTATACTATGACATAGCCAGTTAACAAATATTTATTAAGGACTTACTATGTGCCAGGCACTGTGCTAAGTAAGAGAAGGGCAAAACAGTCCCTGCCCTTAAGGAGCTCACATTCTAATGGGGGAGATAACATGTAAATAATTAGGAACTTATAAAATATATACATAATAGATGGAAGGCAATCTGAGAGGGGAAGGATTAGCAACTCTGGGAACCGGGGAAGGTTTTCTTTAGAAGGTGGGACTTGAACCAAGTCCTGAACAAAGCCAGGGAAACTAGGAAATGGAGGTGAGTGGCTGGAACATTCTAGGCATAAGGTCAGCCAGTACAAAGGCATAGAGGCAGAAGATACAGTGTTTTGTTCAAGGAACAGCAAGTAATCTGGGATAGCTAGATCACAGAATGTGTGGAGGAAAGTAAAAGGAGCACAGTTTAGGAAGGGCATTGGTAGGTTGAAGAGAATCCAGAGATCTGCAACCATAATGGTAAAGGGCCTCAAGCTCATGCCATATGAGGATTGATTCAAGGAAATAGGTGTGTTTAGCCTGGAGATGAGAACACTAAAGGCTACATGATAGGTAATGTGATATTAAGTTCCTACCATGTACCAAGCACTGTTACAAAGAAAGGCAAAAAGCAGTACCTGCTCTAAAGGAACTCAGTCTAATGGAGATGACCGATGAAAACAACTATTTACAAACATATATATATATATATATATGTATATGTGTGTATATGTATAAATATATGTATATATATGTGTATGATAAATTGGAGATAATCAATAGTTCCGCATAGCTATAGAGTAGAAAATTGCAGAAAGGCATACGGCATATGGAAAACCTTATGAAAAATCAGAGCCATTACAAAGAACAAAGGACTGTTTCAGAAGGTAGTCTTCCCCTTCATCAGAGGTCTTCAGACAGAGGGTAGATGATGATTTTTTAGTTATGCAGTAGAGGAAATTCCTATTCAAGTACAAATTGGACTAACTAGTCTTTGAGGTTCTTTCCAACCCTCAGATCATTGTCATTACCACCACCACCACCACCATCATCATTATCACAAATGAGGAAAGTAAGGCTCAGGTTTGAGGTTAATTTGAGGTCACTAGTGGCAGGCCCAGGTCCCTGAACTCTAACCCAGTGCTCTTTCTTTCTGGAAGAATTTCCATTGACCTACAACACCATTCCATTTTAAATCCTCCTTGGTTAAAAATAAAGACCTTCAAGTATTGGACTCCCCCCAAGTTGGCATCTGACCCTGTAATGCTAGCAAGAAGAATTACTCTCTGGAGACCAATAGAAGACTGACTTACCACTGGGCAGGAGAACTTTTCACTGTCACAAATGAACGTCTCACAGTGTAGCCATACCTTGGAGAGTTTGGGCACATTTTGGAAGCGGAAAGCATTGAACTGAAAAGTTGCTCTATGATCCTTGCCATTTTCATGCACCAGAACAGTTTCATCAGTGGGGCATCTGAAAACACACAATGAGAAGCAGAAACCAAAGAACCACTCTCTAACTGATCCCTGGCTTGGTCTCCTAAGGTGATGCAGATATGATTAAGTAGAATAGAGGTCACTCCTTTGAGTCCATGGTGTTATGGTCCACGCAGGATTACTAGGGTTGTGCTGGATTAAGAGCAAGTTCACACAGCACCTGTCCTTTTAAAGTGCTTTCCATAAATCCCCTTGTCTAGTCAACTAGTCATACCAACATGCCAAGGGTTTTGGTTGAGATCAGTTTCCCAATGAAATTTCAAATCTACAGAGTTTTTTTTTTTTCCCAACTACACCAATAATTCTTGTCTTTAGGTAGCAAGACTAGGAGACTGAGCTCCATTCCTTAGTCTCCTACCCTTTAAAAAAGTTGATATTTTTTGTTTTTACATGACCTTTATTTCCCAACATGTTTCTTTCCCTCCTTGGACAGCATATCAAAGGAAGAAAAAGAAGAAAAGAAAAACCAGATCCACAAAACTAACCCACATGTCAATTAGCATCACATAGCATGTACAGTGTTTCATAGATTCAGTTAAAACCAATCTCTCCTCTCCTCTCAGTCTCTCCTTCCCTTTTCCTCTCCCTCTCTCTTTCTCCCTTTCTCTCCCTTTCTCTTTCTCTCAATTTCTCTCTCTCTCCCTTTGTCTCCTCTTATACATACACACATGCACATACACATTTATATACATGCATATATTATATATGGTGGGGGAGGTGATTATAACCTTTCACCTCAATGGTGTAAGGAATTCCTGAGAAGGAAACTTCCTCTACCAAAGCAGTTTAGCAATTGTTCTGAAACAGTCTTACAGAGTGGCCTGGGGGGCATTAAGAAGTTAAGGGTATTACCTAATGAATCAGGGGAATAACTTGAACCCCAGGCTTCCCATCTACACATTTGCTCTCTCTCCAATATGCCACGCTGCCTCCCCAAAAGTCACATAAAATTTAGATGGAAGGCAATCTGAGAGGGGAAGGATTAGCAACTCTGGGAACCACAAGAATGGTTATTTCTTTGAGCAGAGATTCCATGTGGTATATGTATGTGTTTGTGTGTGTGTGTGTGTGTGTGTGTGTGTGTGTGTGTGTGTGTGTGTAGACAAGCAAGAAGAAGAGGAAATCTATTGGGTCTTTTGTCCTTCAAGTGGTCCATGGACAATTGCATTAGACATTTTGCTTCTGAAAGCACTATGAGGACAAAAAAAAGGCTAATGCACCTCCAGAGTGCCTCTTTCCCACTCACTATATCTGGCTCAAACAGGTTCACAAATGTAAGCAAAGATACTGTGATATTCTATGAATATTTTCTTATAATTCTGTCACTGACTTCCCAAGTGACCTTAGGAGAGTTGTTTCCCTCCTCTGGACCTCATTTTCCTCATTTCTAAAATAAGGGGCTTAAACTAGATCATTTCTAAGTTCTCTTCCAGTTCTGACATTCTATGTCAGGTTATAAGCATGAGACAGTGTACAGAGCCTTAAATTCAGAGTCAGTGGTCACGGGTTTGAATCCCAGCTCTGCCATTATCTAAGTGACGTTGGACAACCTTAGATGACCTCTGAGGTCCCTTTTATCTCTAAATTTATGATCCTATGATCCTAAGGAGAATGATCCAAGAACCTTTGGTTCATCAGGTCCAGGTCCAATTGGCAGAAATAAGAAATAGAAACTTGAAAATTTCAGTGCTGAGAGCCAACCCTTGGCAAGAGGTTGAGGGGAGGGGTGTGTCTTAACTCTAATTCAAGATTCTTCTATTGGTTCCTCTATTTGTGTCGGCCTCAGACCAGCGATGGAGTCATGGACACTTTCTGAGTTGTGAAATTCAACTCCGTGTTGGTCAGTAAACCTGAGATCTTTAGTTGAAACTAAGTAGGTCCTTAAAATAGCTCACTAAAATGAGTTTCCTCATGCCATGTAATGACTTTAGCTGGTGGAAAAAAACAGAGTTGGGGGCAGGGAAGAAGTAGGACGAATAGTGCAATGATGGATGGGTAGGCATGATTATCATGTTTAGATCATTCAGCCCTAGTTCCTCTTGGCACTTTGAACCAAAGTTTGAAGTAAGTATCTAATCACATTTCACCTGAATCAGTTATCCATTTAGAAATGGAGAATTATAGCTTTGAAGCTGCAAGAAATGACCACTGATTCCAATCCCCTCATTTTATAGATGAGGAAACTGAACTCTAGGGAGACTTATCCAAGGTCATACAGGTAGTAATAATCAGATGTGAGATATGAACTCAGGTGTCTGAATCCAGAATCAGTGACCTTTTCATGTACTTGTGAGTATGTATTATATAAAGGGAACTGTCAGACAGAGGCCCATAGAGCTGAGACAAAATAAAAATACTAGCCTCCAGTATTAAATTGGAGTCAGTTGACTGGCATTGGGACCCTGGGAGATGAATAGGTCCAGGCAATGTTGCAATCCATCTCTCCCCAACCCCCAATGACTTATAATAGTGGTTCAGTGCAAAATGTTCCTGCCCTAGGGCCATATGTGATTATCACCTGAATACTGCAAAATAAATCATATTTGGCAAATTTGTGTATAAAGAGAAATCTCTGATGTTTTGACTATTCTGCTCTCTCCAGGAGTCTAGAAAATTAATCTTTCTTCCTGATCAGAGTGGAAGAAATAATGTTTGAGAAATTCTGGGGCCTTGCTTTCTAACTTTGTGATGAATTCCCAGCACCAGTATTTCCAGAACATTCACAAAGTACTGCTAAATGTCCTAGGCATGGTAGAGATTTGTATCAAAGATGGAACCTTCCAAAAGTATACAATGTTGTACTTGTGTAATATGGGAACAATAAGGATGATTTGAGGAAGGATAACAAATGTGCATTAAGCAATAAAACATCAAGCATTATAATTCACTGTGTAAACCTTTGTGACATTGCAATCATAAGAGAAAGAATCAGAGGTTTTAAAGTTATCCCCAGTCTATTCCAGCCAAGAATTCATTTGAGGATCCTTCAAGTCATTTGGTTGGTATAATTTTCTCTATTTCATAAAGAGTACATCATCAATATGGATAAAATAGCTATCAAAACTGCTCTTGAAATCCTGCTGCCCCCAGAAGGAAGAAAATCTTCCTGGATTGTCCACATATGATCCAATGCCTCCCACTCTGCCTGTAAATCAGATTTCCATGGCTGCTCTACCCCACTTGTTATCCAAAATATCTTGCCTCCCCAGGACTTCCTTCACCCTGATATATAATTGACGTCAATACTCAACTGACTCCAATTTAATACTACTCAACTGACTCCAATTTAATACTGGAGGCTAGTATTTTTATTTTGTCTCAGCTCTATGGGCCTCTGTCTGACAGTTCCCTTTATATAATACATACTCACAAGTACATGAAAAGGTCACTGATTCTGGATTCAGACACCTGAGTTCATATCTCACATCTGATTATTACTACCTGTATGACCTTGGATAAGTCTCCCTAGAGTTCAGTTTCCTCATCTATAAAATGAGGGGATTGGAATCAGTGGTCATTTCTTGCAGCTTCAAAGCTATAATTCTCCATTTCTAAATGGATAACTGATTCAGGTGAAATGTGATTAGATACTTACTTCAAACTGGGAGTACCACTTTAGCTGTTTCCTTGAATGGTGTAATCAAGGCACCTGAAAGGAGTTCTTCTTCCCAACACTTCTCAAACCATGAAAGCCAACAGCCTGAAAAAGGATCCAGACCCCATCCTATAACCTTGACCCATCAGAAACTGTACATACCCTTTACCAATTAGCTGCCACTGCATGGGATACATGAAGTCTGCTGAAGGTGTGGCCCAGCAGCTGTTCAGCACAACCTTAAACCTGAAAGGAAAACAAAGGACCATTGAACCAGATGTTCTTTTGCTCAGACCTGGCTGCAGGCAGCTTTCTTTTTCAATTCAAATTTCAGTGGGGCAGGTTTCCTTACCTAATACTTAACCCTTTGGCTTCCACGCCTGCGAACAAATCCGACCCAATTTCTGAGGTTTCCAACACGAAAGGGGCTTCTTTTTTAGTGGAGAACTTGGCATTCTTTGGAAAGAAATATGTATTGAATATTATGATCCTTTGGACTGCCCAGTTGGGGCTCAGTGAGAGAAACTGTGCAGGGGTTAGTTCCAGGGTGGGGCAGAGGTGATAGAGGACACAGAGGGACCATTCTTCCAGTTACAGAGAAGTCAGTGGGTGATAAAGACCACATTGCTTTCAATGGGTGAGCTGGATTATAGGGAGAGGCAAGCCACCCACAACTATTTATATGGAGAATATGATTTGGTTTGAAGGATCTAGACCAGGGAAGGATTTTAGAGGCCATCTAGTCCAATCCCTTTATTTTGTAGATGAGAGTTCGACTCATAGTATAAACGAATTATTAGTAGAAAATGAGGAAACTACCTATGTGGCCCCTGGCAAATCACTTAACCCAGCCCAATCTGTTTTCTCCTTTAACTGTGCCCTATGGAAACTTGTTCTTTTATTAACAAACTGTCCTTCATATTAGATGTCTTCCTCTCATGCACCTTTTATTTACACATTTCAATCACAGAAACCTGGCTCCCCTTTGAGTCACACATCCTTGGCCACCATCTCCAGGACTAGATTTATGGTCCCTCATGCCCCAACCCAACTAGACCAGGACAAAGAGTAGGTATGCTTCTTGCTCCTCATTGCTATTTCTAGACCAGGGATGGACAACCATAGGTTCCTCACTCCTGTTCTAGACCCTTCCCTTGCTACCATCACTTATTCTTCTTTGAGGTTCACTTCATCTATACATCACCCTATTCAGAGTCTAGAGTCATTTATCTACAAGCCCTCCCTTCTCAAGGAGATTAGTGACTGGATACATAGTCCTCATCCTCTCTATTCTAATGTCAGCCCTTCTACTAATGGGCTTCAATTTTCAAGCCAGGATCCTCTCAAACACCCTTGCTTCCCATTTCGGCATCTCAGAAATACACAGGAATGGTCATCCCTTTGATCTCACCATTGGCAGTAAGTGTTCTGCATAATCAATAACTTTGGAATTGCTCTGTCTGACCACAGCTTTCTATTCTCTAATTGCAGTGCCTTACCTCTGCTAAACCTACTCTCTGTCTTGACCATAACCTCCAATTATTACATCCTTTTCTTCTTTCAAAGGCCATTACTTAAGCTGGTTTCACTTTGTTCCCTTTAAAATCTTGACTCTATAGTTAATCAGTTCAACTTCATACTGTTCTCTGTATTTGAATCCTTTGCCCCTTCTCTTTTGAAGCCCATCCCATTCTATACCTCAGCTCTGGCTTACTCTCACCATGTGCCTCCTTGACCTTTTACTCCAGTAATGCACTAGAAAAAGTCACCTAGTTATGCTGACTAGGTCCACTACAAATATTTAATCTCAATTGAGCCATCACTTCTACAGGCCAATACTTCCACTCTTTTCTGACTATTTCTTGCACTTCCTGCAGAATGGTCCAAGCCAGGGGTGTTGATGAGATTACCAAAAGAGAGATTACAGAAAGAAAAGAAAAAAAATAGCCCAGGAAAAAATCCTGGTGGCATGTCCACATAAAGGAGGCTAAGAGGAACCAGTCAGGTGGGTAGAAGGAGAATTCAGGAGGACAATTAGGAGAAAACAATGTCATGAAAAACCTGGGCAGAGAGAGGGACGAAAGGTATGGTTGACAGTATCAAACTCTGTAGAAAGGTCGAAAGGATGAGGATCGATTATAGGCCATTGGCTTTAGCAATAAAGAGATCATTCATGATCCCCATAGACTGTAGTTTCAGTCAAGTTACAGAATCATAGACTGGAATACAAAGGCTTAAAAAATGAGTAAGAGGTGAGAAAGTAGAGGCAGAGAGTTAGACAGCATTTCCCCCCCTCAGTTTGTCTTTGAAAAGGAAGAAAGATATAGGATTATAGTTTGAGAAGCTAGTAAGACCAAGTGAAATTTTTGGTTTTTGTTTTGTTTTAAGCATGAGGTAAATCTAGACATGGGCAACTAGGTGGTGCAGTGGATGGAGTGCTGGGAGTCAGGAAGACTTGTCTTCTTGAGTTCAAATCTGGTGTCAGACACTTACTAGCTATGTGACCCTGGGCAAGTCACTTAACCCTGTTTGCCTTAGTTTCCTCATCTGTAAAATGAACTGGAGAAGGAAATGGCAAACCACTCCATTATCTTTGCTCCAAAATATGCTAAATGGGATCATGAAGAGTCAGTCATGATTGAAACAACAGAAAGACAATAACCACGAATCCAGACACATGTAGACCACAGGAGAAGAAACTAGTAATGGAGACTGAAAATTAGACAGATAGTAGGAATGATTGAAGGATCAAGCTCAAGGAAGAGACTTTAGAGGATGTGTTTGGTACAAGTAGAAGGGCTGCCCTTGACAAGAAAAAGGACCATCTCTTCATCAGAAACTGGAGCCAAAGAGGAAAAATAGATGATGCAATGTTAAGGAAATCTGAGGATTAGAAGTAAGAAGAAAAGTGAAGAGAGGTATGTCATCAATTTCTTCGGTAAAGGATGATGTGAGGTCATTTGCTAGGGTCACAGGAGGGTGTGGTACAGATGGCTAGAGGAGTAAGAGAAAGTTTAGACCAGGGGTGGGGAACCTGCAGCCTGGCCTTGAGGCCTCTAGTGAGGTCCTTTGACTGAGTCCAAGTTTTACAGAACAAATCCTTTTATTAAGGGGATTTGTTCTGTTGAAGTTAATTGTCATCTCTATAAAGATAAACCCCAAATCTACATATGTAACTATCAGCTTTCTCTTGAATGTTAATTCTATATTACCAACTTTCTGCTGGCCATCTCTACCTGGATGTCTTATAGACACCTCAGACTTAGTGTATACCTCCCCACCCTCCCAATCATTATCTTTAATTGCCTATTTTTTTTTACATTCCCTATTTTAAAAAACCAGAAAACCTAGGTTTGAATCTCAGGATTCATTCTTGACTCTTCATTTTCCTTGACCCCTCCTCATTTCCTGCAAGTTGCCAATACTCAATCAATTTTACCTCCACAACATCTTTTACATGTGTCCCTTTTCTTCATTCACATAGTTCAATAGCTTCTAGCCTAGACTACTAATATAGTCTCTCAATTGGTCTCCTTGTATCCAGTGTCCCCTCTTCAATCCAATTGCCAAACTTATCTTCCTAAAGCAGAGATAAAACCTTCAATCAACAAACATTTATTAAACACCTACTGGGTGCCAGGTACTATACGGGGCACTGGCAATGCAAAGACAAAAGGTGAGAGTCCCTGCCTTCAAGGTGCTTATAACCTATAGGTCTGACCATGTCACCTCCCTGTTCAAAACCTTTGCTAGCTCTCTATTGCTTTAAAGATAAAAATGGAAAATTTTTTTATTTGACATTTAAAATCCTGTGCAATCTGAGTCCAAGTTATCTTTCACCTTGTCTTCCTGACATCCAAACAATCTTTCTAGGCAGACTTCACATCATTCTCCCTCATACACTCTACCTTACAGTCAAACTTGCTTATTAGATGGTCTCTGCACATAACTTTCCGTTCCCCTGACCTTGCACAGTATCTTTCATGCCTGGAGTGCTATCTATCTCCACCTCCACCTCTTAGACCCCCCAGGTCTATTCCAGGCTCAGCTCCTACTACTAAAGATATCCCTTAAATCCCCCAGTTGTTAGAGTTAATCTTTCCTTGCTCAAAATAAACTTTGTGTTTATTTTTAAAACATATAATTTTGCATTTCTTTATCTGTGTAAACTTTATTTTCATCCAGCAGAATATAAGTTCTTTGAGTATAGGGACTTTCTATTTTCATCTTTTTATCTCCAGTACCTAGTAGGAGCTTAATAAATGCTCGTTGAATTAAACCACTCTGACCTTTGTTTCCTTATTTGTAAAAGGATGCAGGCCAAGATAATTTCTTTTACTCTGCCATCTTGGCTCTGCCCCCAAGATAATTTCTAAGATTCTTTCCCACCTATCCTTTGAGTTTGTAACTGTTTCATTGAGCTCTTGCAAAGAATGGTGATGAACCTAGGAGCTGTGGAACTGGAAACTATCTTTAATGTTAACCCACTCAGAAAGCCAAAGGTCCAATGAATCTATATTTATTTTTGAGACACTTCAGGCTATGTTGGCAAGTTTATACAGTGAGTTGGCTTATTCAGTATACTCCAACATTCTAATCTCTTGGTCCATCCAACTAGCACTAATTATCAACTGGTGGTGACGTGGAAAAGAAGATATCTTGGTCTAGAAATACGGGGATTAAAGACCAGTTCTTTGTCAACTCCAGGACACAAGATTCCATATCTCTCTTTCCTTTCACTGCTAGACTTCTTGAATAGATAACTTATACCCAGTGACTCCCTTAATCACCACCTTGCATCACCATTCTATTGAGACTGTTCTCTTAAGTCACCAATGACCTCCTAATTACCAAAAGGAGTCACTTTTCTCAGTATCCAACCTCCTTGATCTCTTTGAGGAAGATGAAATCATTTATCACCCCGTCCTTCTCACTCTCTTTACCTTTGGCTTCTATTACACTACTCTAGGTTCTCTCCCCTATCTCTCAAATTGCTTCTCCTGTCACTCTCACTGCTTCTTCTGTCCTCATTCCCTTAACAGGCATTCCCTAAGGCTCGGTCCTCATGCTTCAGCCCTTGGACCTTCTTGTCCATGTTTTCTCCCTTGTCTATTTAACCCACTCCCACAGTACCAACTATTCCTTCTACATCTGTTTAGTTTTAACTGTGCCTCTGGGCTTTGGAGCTCCATCTTTAACCACTGGGTAGTGGACAGCTCATGGGACTTGTAGTCAGGGAGACCTAGGTTCACATCCTACCTCAGAAACTTATTGTCTGTGTGACCTTGGGCAAATCACCTTTGGGCCTGAGTTTCTCTAAAATGAGGAGGTTGTACTTTGCCTTTAAGGTCTCTTCTAACTGTGTGATACTATATTCTTCTTTCCATCAGTCTCTGTCCCCCTTCATTATATCCTATACACTATACATCTATTACTAGTTTAACTTATCAAAAGTGTAGATCTAGTTAAGTCACTACTCTGTTAAAAAATCGTTTGTGATACTGCCTTGCCAAATAAAGTCCAATTCAAGGCCCTTCACAAATCTGGCTCTAATTTACCTTTCTAGTCATATTATTCCCCTTTATGTGCTACTTATACTCTTAATTGAACATGTCTCTTTCTCCTTTTCTTTCCTCTGATCTATCATTATATTATTCCCTAATCCTCAAATGGGACAGCTAGATGGCACAATGGATAGAGTGCTGAGCCTGCAATTAGGAAGACCTCTCTTTGTGAGTTCAAATCTGACCTCAGACACTTACTAGCTGTGTGACCCTGGGCAAGTCATTTAACTCCATTTGCCTTAGTTTCCTCATATGTAAAATGAGTTAGAGAAGGAATGGCAAACCACTACAGTATCCTTGCCAAAAGAAGTCACAAAGAGTCAGACACAACTGAAAACGACTGGATGACAACAAAATCCTCAAATGCCTTCTCCCCACATACTTACTTGTTGAAACTTACCCATCCTTGAAGGTTCAGCACAAAGGCCACCTCCTTGATGAAGTGTTCATCAATGCCCCTAGAGCAAAGTGTTCTCTCCCTTTGAACTCTAACAATACTTCTTCTTAGCATTTTAAGGCCCTCACATTCTGCTTTGTATTATAGGTATCTACCTATCTGTATTATCATCCCTAATAGATCATAAACTCTAATAACTTACTAGTATCGGTTTCTCTCTCAGTAGTTGGCACAGGACCTTCCACATGCTAGGTGCTCAATGCATGTTTGTTGAATGAATGGATGGATGGAATGAAGTTGAACCTGAGCCCAGAATGATTATCAATTAGCTTCATATTTGGCTCTGTGACTTTAACCATATCCTTCCTGCTTTTCCAAATGCATTGGAAATGCCCATCAATTGGGGAATGGCTGAACAAGCTGTGGTATATGAATGTAATGGAATACTATTGTGCTATAAGAAATGATGAGCAGGCAGATTTCAGAAAAACTTGAAAACAATTACATGAACTGATGCTGAGTGAAGTGAGCAGAACCAGGAGAACATTGTATATAATAACAGCAACATTGTGCCATGATCAACTAGGATAGACTTAGCTCTTCTCAGCAATACAATAATCCAAGACAATTACAAAAGACTCATGATGGAAAATGCTATCCACATCTAGAGAAAGAATTATGGATTCTGAATACAGATCGAAGAATACTATTTTCACTTTGTGTGTTTTCTTTCTTGTGGTTTTCCCCTTTTGTTCTGATTCTTCTGTCACCACATGACTAATGTGCAAATATTTTTAACATGATTGTACATGCATAACATGTCAGATTGCTTGCTGTCTTGGAGAGGGGGAGGAGATGGAGAGAGGGAGAAAAAATTTGGAACTCAAAATTTTATAAAAGTGAATGTTGATGGGCAGCTAGGTGGCACAGTGAATAGAGCACGGGCCCTGAAGTCAGGAGGACCTGAGTTCAAATCTGGCCTCAGACCAAACACTTGACACTTACTAGCTGTGTGACCCTGGGCAAGTCACTTAACCCCAACTGCCTAAAAAAAAAAGTGAATGTTGAAAACTATTTTTACATGTAATTGGAAAAAATAAAATACTATTAGGTAGGAAAAAATTTTAAAAAAACCAAAATAAAATTCAAAAATAAAAAAATAAACAAAGGGTATCCCCACTGGAGCAGAGTAGAATAGAAGCACTTTGAGGTCAGGATATATATATATATATTTTAAATCTTGTAACCCCAGATTCCCAATATAGTACCTTGAACATAGGAATAAAGACTGGTTCTATGATTTCATTGGCATATGGAAATCCCAGATGAGGATACAACCAATGTGTGTTGGCACCTTCTTAGGAAGTTGTAGTTTTAGAGAATTACCCAGAGCATTGAGAGGTTAAGTGACTAGTTCAAGATCACACTGCCAGGATATATCAGAGGAAGGACCTGAACTCAGGTCCTCCTGGCTCTGAGGTGAGCCTTTTATCCACTATGTCTGCTGCTTCTCTGCCTCACACATCATGGGCATTTAATAAATACTTACTGGGTTGGATTATATCTGGTACTGCTACCCGTTTCCTGTGTGGCTAAAGAGTATGAGGTAGATAAACAGCCTATGAGGAATTTTCTTTTTGGCTTCAGAATCTGGAAAACTTTTTGCTACAATTCCAAATTTGGAGGGGAGAGGAGGGAAAGAGTCTATTGGGAACTTGTCTTTGGTGCCTCATGGAATTCAGAACAATCTGCTGCTGAGTTGATTTCCTTATGCAATGTAGGTCATGGCCCCTGACCTGCTAATTGGGTGGAAATATATACAAGGATTGGTTGCTGCTTTGGCAACACACAAGAATGCTCTCCAAGAAAGTGGACTAAACCAGCCTTGCCGCCATAAGGCAGATGACTGCATGAGTCAGGCCCTGGAAACAAACCACAAACCTCGTGGCTCTGGGGAATGCTAAACAGCCACCCAAACAGAGCAGCACTGAGTGGGAAAGTAGCAAGAGTTAGAGCCCGGACTTGAGCTATAATCCTGGTACCCCACTCTGCTTGGGGAAGGCCTTTTTGAAACAACTTAAGAAAACTGAACACATTGAATGCCCACCCCCACCCCCCAAGTCCTGACAGGAGGGCACTGAGGACATGCCTCCTATATCCTGCACTCCTGTTAAATGGGATACAGTAGATAGACCTGACTGAAAGGGAGGGAATATTCTCTGGGAAGAAGACTTCCTAATAACATGGTCATCTTTCTCATTTAAACCCCTGCCAAATAAGCGATGATTCTGCCTTTTGTTTTATTTTGTTTGGTTAAAATAATCATAAAACAAACAAACAAAAAACACCCTCCAGAAAGAAGTGGGAAGCTAATACAACCTATTGCTTAACTACTAGTTGGTGGCCACTCTGCACAATGTATACATTGCATGCTTGGATTCCCTCCAGATTCCATATGGATAGAGCATTTGTCCTCTGCCATCATGTAGTCTCTCCATTATTTCAAAGCTTTGGAAGCCCACATTGTATTGACCAATTTTGCCTGCTTGCCAACAAAGGCTTAACGAGGTCCTTTCTCTAAGGATTAGATGTGCTGTTAACTATGGATATATTTTCTACAGAAGACTGTGTTCATAGAAGAAAGAGCACTGGACTGGGAGGCAAGAGCCCTGGGTCCTTTTCCTGCCTCTGCTTCTGGCCAAGTCTTCTCTTTTCTCCCAGACTCAGTTTCCTCAATTGCAAAATCCTGGCTTACACTACATGATTTCAAAGGTCTCTTTGACCACCAAGATTCCATGGCTATCTTCCTGGAGACGGCTTTCCCTAGAGAAGTATTTGTGTGGTTGTATGTGCAAACACAAATTCATGTGTGTCTGTGCATGTATGTATACGTATACATGTGGTATGCTTGTTCACAAAGCAGGTTATACAAAACAGATGCTGGGAGAAGGGGAAAGATAGCTGTTGCTAATGGTTTTGAACATGGCTTTTGAATGGGACTACTTTTTGTCTCAAATTAGGAAGGCACCAGTAATAACTACAGTTAACTGAGGACAGAGGAGACAAGTTAAAGGCTTTTGATAGTCCAAGTAACAGATTTATGCAGCATGGACAACCACACACATATGTGTACACACACGTACACACACACACACACACACACACACACAGAGACTCACTCCTTCCTCACATTCTCTTTACCTCAATGGAATGTTTCTTAGTTCCTTGTTCTAAGGAGCTTGTCACTAAGACTCAAATAACAGATGCCATAAATATGATCTGGGTCTCAAATATAAGGTACTAATGTGTAGAATAATAGAAAGAACTTTGGCATCAAGATCCAAGAAATCCAAATTCTAAGCCCAACTCTGCCATTAACCAACTGTGTGACTTTAGGCAAGTCCTAGAATCACAGGGTTAGAGCTGGAAGGGATCTTACAGGTCAGTCCATCTCAACCCCTCATTTTACAGATGAATACACTGAGGTACAGAGAATTAGGTGACTTTTCCAAGATCATACAATCAGGAAGTGACAGAGTTGAGATTTGAGACCCTGTCCTAATTCCAAATCCAAAGCTCCTTCTTCATTTGTAAAATAAAGGAATCAGACTGGATGATCACCAAAGTCCCTTTGGGCTCCAACATTCCATGAATCTAGAACACAATAATTGAACTGCTTAACTTAAACTGCAGTTTAGAGCTTGAATGAATGTTGGAGTCTTAACCTTAACTAGTGGGTGAAACGCGTTGGGGTGGGAAGAAGGAAAGAACAGATACATACAGGTAAGTCCAGGGATCTCTCATATTGACTGTAATGTAACTGAGAAGGGTAAGTAAAGAAAACTCACGGTATAGAAGTTCAGAGACAACTGGCTTTCAAAGGAGCCGACGCTCCCGTTCTTGACATGGACTGTGGCCACTCTGGAAAGGGGAGAGAGTTTTGCATAAGGACTGAAACATGCAAGATTGGAAGGGGCTCCAGAGTACATGCATGCTGTGTGTCCTCTTTGCCCAGAAGACTTACCTCTGATCAAAGGCAGCCTGGTTGACCAAGTAGGTTGAATGATACGTACAAGAGAAGGAGTAATTCACCGGTTGGCTCTTCACAATCACTGTGCTGTCGTTGGACACAATGTGGCTGAAGAAATGGTAGATAGGGGGCTTGTACTGCAGTCAGAAAGAGGAAGAAACAAGGTCATGTTTCCTTGGTGACACTGGGGATGCTGTAGGAATGGCTTGGGGAAATGAATGGAGAGTTTTGTACGCGGATTTTTAAATGGACAGAGCATTTACAAGTGAAAAACCAAAGGGGAAAAGAATTCAGATCAGCCTCTAGAGTTTGATATTACTTTCTGGATTTGGAAAGGGAAGATTTTGATTTTTATCAATGAAGTTTGGGATAATATGAACCAAAATTCCTGGAGCAGTCTTTGATAGACTCTTTTCCCAGAAATTAAGAACTGAAAATATTCCAAGGTCATGTTTCACATGTACTCATTCGACTCAGGCCCCTTCTCCAGTACTAACTCACTTTCCCTTTTTGTAAGCTTTGTTGGTTGACCTTCAGAGCCCAGGGCCAGTGATGTCCCATGGCGTTGCTACAATGAAAGAATGTTGTGAAATGTAAAGAGCTATACCAATGTGAGCCGGAACTAATAGTACATAATAGTTTTATCATGTTTTTCCTGACTGTGTCACCAGGAAGGCAAAGCACCCTAGTGGGTAGAGTGTTAGACTTGGAGTCAGGGAAGGTCTTCTCCATTTCTACCTCTGGCACTTCCCAGCTAGCTATGTGACTCTGGGCAAGTCAACAACCATCTTTGAGCCTAGGTAACTTTCTAAGACCCTAAGTCAGAGAAAGTTGTGATTTGCCTTGGTGGGGGTAGATGCTGTAATAACAAAAGCACAGTTCCTAGATAATTCCAGAATGCAGCACAGAACATTCTGACCTTCTAAATAAAGCAAAAGTTCTTAACCGGCAGTCTGTGAACTTTAAAAACAAAATTTTGATTACTTTGTTTCAATATAATTGGTTTCCTTTGTACTTTCTTTTATGCATTTAAAAACATTATTCTAAGAGAGAAGTCCATAGGCTTCCCTAGACTGGCAAAGGGGTCCAGGACCCAAAAAAGTTCTCTGTAAAAAGAGGAAGGTGTCTGTGGAGGAATATTTTTTTTCTCTCAAACTTAACAGAGGGCAAATCTGCTGACATTCAGGGCAATGAAGTACATAGTGAACAAATAGTCAATGGATGCTTATTAAGTACCTGCTACGTGTCAGGCGTCGTGCTAAATGCAGGATTGAAATGTTGGAAAGAACATTGCACTGGAGTTGGGAGATTTGAGTTGGTACACCAGTTTTACCTGTGTGATCTTGGATAAATGACTTCATGTCTGAGTCCCAGTTTCCTCATCTATTCAATTAAGGGATTGAACTAAATAATCTCAGAGGTCCCTTTTAACTCTGTGATTCTATGCCCAATGTCCAGTATTTTGTGAGGATTCATTTTTCAATTTGTTTCATGTTTTAATAACTACAAAAGCTTATCTTGTTTGGCAAAAAATACTCTGTTGTCAACTGACCCAGGATTGGCCTTACCTCAGATTGGGTTCCACAATAGGACTTGTTTTTAGGTGACAGGTCAGGGATTATGAACTGGTAGTAACCTGCCTCGTGGACTCCGTTGTAACAAATCCCTCCAAGAGCCAGCTGGTGTACTTCCCATCCATAGGGACACTCTGGTATTTTTGTGATGATGGTTTTAGGATAACAAAATACAAGAATAACATCTAGAAAGAAACACATGCATGATTTGGGATAAGAAATAGTGACTATCCAAAGTGTATTTTGATCCACTGGAGATGCAATTTGAAAGAAGAAAAAGAGAAAAAAATATTACTGCTCTTTAACAAATAATAATTAAATAACAAGAATAAATAAAGCTTAAGAATAAGGCCCAAAGAGGAGAATGGAGAACATGTGACAAGATTAATTTTTAAATAGTAGTTGAAAGTTCACTAAATGGGAATCAAGAAACCTGGATTCTAGTCTTGGCTTTGCAATCAATTCACTCTTTGGCCTTGGGCAAATGACCCTATTTGGGCCTCATTTTCCCCATTTGTAAAAATGAAAGGATTAGATGAGATGATTTCTAAGTTCCTTTTCAAATCTAAAAGCTGTAGGACTTTGAAATCCATGACAAAAGTCTTATTTTATGCATATTTTCTTGTTTTTTAAAAAATGTCAATATCTGCCTTGTTTATATTTGGGAGATAATAAATTGTGACTATATTAAGGTAGGGACAAAAGTGACAGAAAGGTAGTTTGGGTGGCCTTTCCCCTAAGGGAAGCATCTAGTGGAAAGAATTGGGCTTGGAGTTTCAAGACTTCGTTTCTGACACTTAGTAATGGTGTGACTATGGGCCAGTCACTGAATCTTACTGTATCTTATTTTTCTTATCTATAGAATGGGGATAACAATATATTTACTACCTACCTTAGAAGTTACTATAAGAAAGGCACTTTGTAAAATTTAAAAAGCTATAGTATTGTGAATTAGTATTTTTATGATAATTTTCATCCAAATACTCTGTACCTGCTTTATTTGGGATACACGGGCCTGTCAATGTCTCAGTAAAGATGGCCAGCAGGACAAATACCCTTATCGCCATCTCTTCTGTGGGGTGTGGACACTGCTGGGCAGCCAGACCAAGAAAGCAGGACTGTCACAATCCTGGAAGGGCCCAGGGCATTATCATTGTGGGCTTGGCATGAAGATTTTCAGCTAAGGGGAAGCACACAGCGTACCCCAACCTGCGTGGAAAAAAAAATGATATCCTAAGAGAGACTGAAATGTAATGCCATACGTCCTCATCATTCCTGACAGACATACAACACACCAAAGGTAGAAATCATACCAAAAATCTGGCAGGAGCCGTAGTTCAGATGTGGCCAGTCATATGTCCTGCAGCTTCATTCGGCCCACCCCAGATGCACCGTGTATGTTGCTTTCTCCACTCCTGTTTTCTCCCCAGCTCACTGATTCAGTACTGTCTCTACTTTATATAGGCTGGTGTTGTAAAAAGAAACCCGTATCCAGATAAGTCACAATGAACAAGTGTAAGCCAGGGTGGGGGGAACTCCAAGGGGACCACATGAAACAATAAGACAGGGAGTTCCGTTACTGTCCGTCAAAACGGGATTCTTTCTCCCTCATGTTATTTTTCATGGAGCTTTCTTAAATAATAAACATGTTTTTCTCCTATCCCAGGATGTGAAAAGCAAAGTAAACTTAAATTTTTAGGAGAAAGGATATTTCTATACCTTCGCCAAGAAAACCTCAAATGGGGTTGCGGAGAGTTGGGCATGACTAAAAATGAACAATAACAATGAAATGTCAATGTACATTGTTACTCATTTCAGGTCTAGGAAAGGACTGGTGTGATTTTGTTCTCTTCCCCTTCCCCCCCACCAATTATTGGTAGGGATCACTTAACATATTCTCTAAAATTTGAACTTCAAGAAAACTCTGAATATCATTAAATTTGATTCTCAAAAATATAGGATGGCGATTCCATGTTTAAATGTTGTTGTTCAGTCGTGTCTGACTCTTTGTGACCCTCTTTGGGATTTCCTTGGCAAAGAAAGAGGTTTGCCATTTTCTTTTCCAACTCATTTTACAGATGAGGAAACTGAGGCAAACAAGGTTAAGTGACTTGCCCAGGGTCCCACAGCTAGTAAATATCTGAGGTGAGATTCGACCTCATGAAGATGAGTTTTACTGATTCCAAACCCAGTGCTCTATCCAGCATGCCAACTAGAGGCAACATTATTCCAGAGTGTAGGGTAGCAGAAGTGCCACAGACCGGGAATCTGAAGACGTGGGTTCAAAGCCCTGCTCTGCTACAATCTTTCAGAGTCATGGCTTATTAAAGAAGAGATTTGGACCATATAACCTCTAAGATCCTTTCTGTCCCAGTATTGTGTGGTTTTAGGCACATTGGAGATCTTGAGCACTGGACCTGGAGTCAGGAAGACCTGTATTCAAATTCTGCTTCAGACACTTACTTGCTGGGTGACCTGGGAAAGTCAACTTAATTTCTGCTGACCTCAGTTTCCTCATCTGTAAAATGGGAATAATGGCACCTACCTCTCATGGTTGTCATGAAGATAAAATAAGATAGTGTGTGTAAAATGCTAGCAAGCCTTAAAACTACATAAATGCTAATTATTATTATTATCTACCACATGTTAGGCCCTCTGAGGAATATAATAGCTAATAATAATAATAATAATAGATATAGCTATATAGTATTTACTATATGCCAAGCTTTATAATTATTATCTCATTTGATCCTCACAACAACTCTGGGACATGATATTATTATTCCCATTTTACAGATGTGAAAACTGAGGCAGAGATTAAGTGACTTGCCCAAGGTTATTCAGCTAGTAAAATTTTGAGGCCCTATTTGAACCTAGCTTTCCCTGACTCTAGACCTGGCATTCTATCCATTGTGTCACCTAGCTTTCTCCTATAGATAACAAAAAGATGAGATCCCTGCTTTTTTGTAGCTTATAGTCTAAAAAGGGAAATTAAACACACAAGAAATCGTTGAGGGCAGTTAGGTGGCACAGTGCATAGAGCACTGGGCCTGGAGTCAGGAAGACCTGAGTTCAAATCCGACCTCAGAAAGTTATTAACTGTGTGACCCTGGGCAATTCATTTAACCCTGTTTGCCTCAGTTTCCTCATCTGTAAAATGAGCTAGAGAAGGAAATGGCAAACCACTCTAGTATCTTTGCCAAAAAAATGCCAAATTGGGGTTACAGTTAGAAATGACTGAAACAACTGAATAACAAAAAAAGAAAGAAAGGAAGGAAGAAAGAAAGAAAGAAAGAAAGAAAGAAAGAAAGAAAGAAAGAAAG